GGCCTTGAGGTCACCCCCAGGTCACGCCTCCCCGAGGTCACGTGACCCCCTCCCCGAAGTCACGTGACACCCCCCCCCGGAGCATATTAAACAATGAGGGGAGGAGGAGGAGAAGGGGGAGGGGTCTACCCTCCCCTCAGTACCCTTCACTCCTCCTCCTCAAGAGCTGCGCTCCAATTCGGCGTTACAGGGATTTGTAAACGGCTTTCACTTTTTTATAGTTCTTTTTGTTTTTAAGAGCCGGTAGGACATTTTGTTTTATTCAAGTCCTACCTAAGCCTTAAGAAGGGGGGAGTGTGGGAACCATTGGGTTCCCTCTATCCCTATCTAGGCCTAGCTTCAAGCAGGCCGTGGGAGTCGTCGTCACCAATGGCGTCGGCCTCCCGGATACAAGGAACCACGAGGCCGAATTCCCCGAAGGGGCCGGTTCTCCCTTGCCCTTTTGGGTGAACGCGCCATCGGCACACCCTTGGGAGTGATTATGGACGCGTCCCGTTTTCGAGTGACCTTCTACCGGCCTCCCCGGGCGCGTCTATTTCCCGCAGGCTACATAAGCCGGCCACCCACCTGTGGCCGGGGCTCTTGGTTAGGGGGGGCTACGCTCGACGGAGCATTCATCGTTATTTTACTGTTCCCCCTTTTCCGTGATCCTGCCAGTTCAGGCAGCGCGGACCTTTCTCCTGGTGATCCTGTCAATTAAGGCAGCGCCAACCTCATTTCTCTTTTGTTCCGCCTACGGGCGTAAAGCGTGTGGCGTAAGCCTAATAAACACGTTTCTACGATATCCCTGTGTTTCGTGTGGTCTTCCGTCCATCGGAGCCTAACGGCAGGCAACGGACGGACCCGGCCGTAGCCGCCATAGCAGCGACCTACGGAGTGGGTGTTGCCTCACAGCGATCAGCAAGGTAAGTCGAAACCCGCTTTATTGCAACCGACGAGTTAAGTAGTGGGTATTTGCCTCACTGAGGACTTTGGGGTAAACTAGAATCCCACAACGTTTGTAGATAAACGTTAGTAGTGACTGCACTCTCGTATTCTTACCCATCACTCCGAACAGAAAGGCGCTCGTTTCGGGTTGAGCTCGGTACCTTTTCTACAACACAGAGACACAGATGGCGGCAGCATCAGTCTTTTGCACTCGGTGCATTGGGCGAGTTCGTTTGAGTCCAGTTTTCCGTGCAACACCGGCAACACTCTGCGAGTGCGATGCATTCTGGGAGAAAACTCGAACGGTGCCAGTGCGTGTGAAACGAACTCGCTATAAGTTATTTCATGGCGCACAACTTAGCGCAAATTATTGTAAACTATACCCTTATTATGTCAAAAACTATTGTCGTTCCACAGATCCCGAAAATAATCAGGAAGCAGCGATTTTCCCCCGTTCCCATGCATTTGTGGCCGGAGTTGGAACCCCCGGGCGTTCGCCGCTAGTTGCCGAGAGACGGCGTTCTAGATTGCGGTTCAATTCGCGTCGATCTAGGGAAAGCTAGGGAACAACCCGCCAGCAACCTCAAAATTGCTGGAAAAGTTGCCCCGTCTGGAAGCGATGGACGACAGAATCGTCCGATCCGACGTCCGATCCGACAGTCCGAACGCCGCTCCGAATTGCCGCACGCGACAGTTTGAGACACACGCTTCCGACCTTGCATGCGACACGACGAACCGTTCGGCTCCGCCCAGGAGATCCAAGCACTCCAGCGGAGGTCCGCGTTCATAGATCTCTGGTCCTAGATTGACGGTTTAGCTTGCACAAGCGAAGTTATTCAGGCAGTCGTATTGCCGGATCGGACGTCGGATCGGATGGATTTTTCGCGCATGTGTCTCGCGCTTAAGCGCGAAACACATGTACGACGAAACCGCCCGATCCGACGTGCGGACTGCCGGAATGACCTTGGGGGGAGAGGGTTATCGTAGCATCGGAGAGCGTTGAAAACCCTCGCCTTCGACCGTCGTATTGCGCGGTCGGACGTCGGATCGGACGGTTTCGTCGTACATGTCGAGTTCGTTCCACGACACTCGTGCCCACGCGTGCCCACTCGCAGCGTGGATCGAGTTCGTTTCGGCCGGCATTCCACGGGTGGTTGCACTCTTCGAGTTCGTTTCAGCGCTGACACCCCACGCGTGCATGCACTCGCTGCACCGAAAAAATCGGGAGTGCGCAAAAAGGAATCCCGTCATGCCTCGCTCCGGCGGGGCCGGCGAGGAGCGGGAGCAAACGACGACGGTTCGACTGCTGCGATGTGTCGCGGAACCGAACGAAAAAAAAAGTAGATTTTCTGATAGAAATCGCGTCCCGCCGGCAACGAAATCAAACGCGAGCTTGACTTGTGAGCGTCTGCTATTTCACGAAGGAAGCAATTGACAATCCGTGATTTATTTGCAGGTTTTAAATCGCTCTGTTGCCGTACAAACGCTGAAATATACCAGTGTGTAAATAAATGCTCGGAACAAACGCAACAGCGGCCCCCGAGATGTCTATCACCATCCGTGTGCGGGTGAAAAATTTAACATTTGTCGACAAAACTCCCCCAGCAGAAACCTCTGACTGCCTAATAAGCACCAGAGAAAGCTAAATATAGTGACTTTACCCGAGGATTGGGCAAAATCATCATGTTTAACATTTACCTACGTCAGCCAACTTGCCCCGTCGTATTTTGCTTCAGAAAGCTCTCGTTCTCCACGCCCTCACCAAGGCTGATATCTAATCCACCTATAATGACAATCCAAATCGAAAGTCCCAGTGCTGGATATTCAAACAGGCTAGTTTTAAGCCGTACCCTTTGAGTGGTTCACGCATAATACCATGCTCAAACGGATCAAGCTTCTGCTCGGACAGCATCATCAGTTTTCTTCAGTGTAAATGGTTATAAGAATTGAAAGATCGCAACCAGCTGTTTTGTAGACAGCTGGTTGCGGAAATTTACGCCGTCTGTAACTATCTTTACGGCAGCCGAGCTGCTTGAAGTCATCGCAACTATAAACTACAGGTTGCAGCGACCAACGTTTGTAGATAAACGTTGGTAGCGACTGCATTCTCGCATTCCCACGCATCACTCCGAACAGAAAGGCGCTAGTTTCGGTTTGAAGTCAGTACCTTTTCTACAACATAGATGGCGGCGGCATCAGTCTTCTGCACTCGGTGCATTTGGCGAGTCCAGTTTTCCTTGCAACACTCCGCGAGTGCGATGCATTCTGGGAGAGAACTGGAACGGTTCCAGTGCGTGTGAAACAAACTCGCTATAAGTTCTATTATTCGGAAAGCGCTTCAAGAGCTGCCAGGTCTTCGTTTTCTCCTTTATTAGGTCGTCACTCTCTTTAGTTGTCTTTTTATATTACTTTTTTGTGTTGGTCTTTTATAAATCTGGTTAAATATGTCTAAAAGTTGATCGTATAGTTTTTATGGCTTTAACATCCATTTTTTACACACATATATAAAAACGACCCAGACCATCATTGCACGAGGCACTGATATAACAATCCCTTCTTGTTAAAACATACAACTTGTAATAGAAGGTTTTGATTGGATTCCTGGATGAACTGCCGACTGGGGTATTTTTGTATCACCGAAACCAGGCATCCTGAATTCAATCCTCTCTCCCTTCCCCCTTCCCTCCTCTCCCTCCCCTCCCCCCCCCCCCCCTCCCCACACACACACACATTCCATCTGGACAAGCACCGTACTGGCGTGAGGTCGTGTATCACTACATCGTGGTACAGATTGAAGACCCCAGACTAGCGGTTGTACTGCACTGGCTCTAGAGCTAAGGGACAAGTCGCCCGTTTAGGTACACCAAGTTCAAGCTGTATAAACATACACACACTACAATTCAGTTTTAATTTTGTCCGAATCATAATAGACCATACACCCTATTTGCCGTGGTAGATGTTGAGGTGGAGTGAAGCGCTGGATATTCTGTTTTCATTATAAAGCATTTTGTACAGGGGTAGAGAACAGCACACCACCATCCCAGTGCTTCAAACCCTCAGCGCCAAAAGCGTTTGTTAGCATGGCTACGCGTGCTGCCTATGCAAGCTTTGGTAAAATGATCTACTACAAATATAACTTCGCCAAATTAACACAAAACGTGAAACAGGCTTTGCTGCGCCTTAACCAGACAGAGCATGAAGCGAGCTGACAACCCGAGGGATCCAAGATCTGTGTGGTCTGTCCTACCTGCGACGTCACAAACGGTGGTGATGATAGCTAGAGATGCGCTTATGTGTTGACATGCATTATGCAGCGGTACTAAAAACATGGCACCTTCCACGCAAACCTTTTGGAAGGCAAGAATTGGACTATTGTCACAACTAGGGGTGTCGCGAACCGGCCGAGGTTCGAGTTCGACCAGGTTCGACTTTTTCGAACTTTAAGTGGAAAATTCTACGAACCTTGTATTGAGGTTCGACTCGTGTGCGCATGCGCCACAGGCTGGCCAGTTGGCATCGGATTGGATGGTGATGGCTAAGGGATAAATTAAGGGCAGCACTGATTGGTTATTTCAGTTAATACAGTACAAACAATTAAGTTATGAACTTGTTCAGTGATTAGAATTGGTTGCTTTTAATTGCAACTGTTTATGAAATAAAATAAATATTCCATACAATTTTTTTTCCAAACCTAGACATGTTTGTATCAAGGCCTGGCCACACTGTCCACAAAGTCGAACCGGTCGAATCTGTTAAAAAGTTCGAAGGTTCGTCAAACCGGTTCGATTCAGTCGAATCCCGGAAATTCGACCTAAAAATCTGGTTCGACAAAAGTTCGCGACACCCCTAGTCACAACCGGCAGCACAAACCATCACTCCATGTCCTGTGATGTGCATGTCCAGTTCGCAGTCCATTTCCTGGAGACGAAGCTGCTACAGCGAGAGATCTCAGCATGGCGCAGGATGGAAAAATGGGTACTCTCTCAAGCGCTACTCTGCAAGTGGGACATTTACTTCAATAAAAATCTGCAACAGTTTGTAAAAAAAAAAAAAGATATATATATAACACTGTGCAAGCTTGAAATTTCATCCTTTATTTCGGAGAAATAGATGTCTGGTTACAATATTATCATTTGCAGATCTGATTAAAATATTATCATTCGCAGATTTTGCTTAAAACAAACGAAACAATAGTAAAAAAAAAAAAAAAAAGAAACAACTGCAATGAAGCAATGTTTACAAATGTATTACACAACACAAAAATAAACATACATTGAACAACCATTCAAAGGGCTCTGTAACGCAAGCATAACCATGGCTCAATTTGTATTCCTTGAGACTGATGATCTGTCCCATTTCATTCAGTTCCTAATGGCAAACAGAATGTTTGCCATTAGGAAAATATAGAACTAAAGTACTATCCAGCATTACACAAAAAAATAAACAGAAGGCATAGCTTGGTGTACAATGACACCCTTATGTCTGAGAACTCTGATGCAGATGGCCAGGCGATACAGAAACACTCAACAAGAACACAAAGCAACAAAATATTATAACCATATTATGAACACCTAAACACCAAAGTGATGTCTCAAAGCTGGGTGTTGTTTATAGCCGATTCACATGACGGACTGATCCGCGGATGGATTGATCACATGTTGACCATGTCCGCGGTTCGTCCGTCTCCCAAGCGCATCCACACGAGGGAGACGACAAGCAGAAGCCAGCGAGGAAGAACTGAACCTGTTCTCCACACCACAGTGCTGCAAAACTCCAGCATCGCATCGTGGCACCGCCATCCAAGAGAAATCAACGTTTGCTACTGTGATAAAGAATCATACACTGCTGTTATGTACAGATAGAGACAAAACACCTTGATAGGCTTTGCACGAAGCACCACTAGCTTTACTAACCCAACGCATGACAGTAACACAGGCAGGGTCCTGCTCAAGAAGGGTTCAGCATAGAAGCAACGAAGTTCTGGGCTCGTGGAGGGGCGTTTGGACATGCCTTTACGGACTCCCCGCTTCTGCAGATCACTCACAGAGCCGTATATGGGGAATTTGGCCATCTCGCCGCCGTAATGCCCCCCTCCCGAGTGAGCCATTCAGCCCACGGCGCAGAGCGAGAGGCGTGAGCGCATGTGCATAAACTCCCAGCTGCTCAACACCTCCTAGACAAAAACCCCCGAGCGTCACGCGACATGATGTCACGTCCGCGAGGCCTGCACGGGCGCTGATTCTATGCGAGTGCCGTGTCAGTGTTTGCGTGGAGCTTGTTTCCTTTCATAAGCCGCGTTTACATGAATGAGACTTAGTCGCATCCAATCTTTTTTCAATGCGGTCATGTAAACGGCATTATGCGCAAAGAAAATGCATCGCATTCAAGTCGCTAGACAAAGGTGGATCAAGATGGCGAGTGCGCATTCATTCAGCCCGTGTAAATGGAGGTCGCATCGCATTTTGGAACGGGGACGATTATGGGAAGGCGCTCGCTGCGGGAGCGAGTGAACAGCTGAGAACATGGCGGCGGCACGATGAGCGGTCCCGTATGTCCCGTATGGTCGCCTGCAATTTTTTCCCGAGAACAAACGCGAGCTTTTATTGCCACCATAAGTAAGCGGAATAAAGGAAAGCTGCTCGGTGAGGGCGGACCCCGTCCAAGCCGTGCGAAGTAGGACTTGCACGTCCAAAGGGGTCCCAAAGGCATCGGCGCAAGCACAAACAACACCGAGAGCTTTGAGCACTGTAGAGCACTGCATGGTAGTGCAGAACGAGCAGCTCCTACCTCTGTGCCGTTCCTGGCTGCGCAAGAGCCTTTCGGACTCGGGGTCCGGTTGGTCCGGTCGCGATCGGTGAGGTCTGGCGCGGCGAAGTGCGGAGGCTTCCTCAAAGCGTGCGCACACACGTCGCCTCTGGTCCAGAGTGACCCGGCGGCCCGGCCTGGAGCCCTAAACGCTTAAGTTTTGATGTTTCTTCGGTCTCGTAACTTCTTCCACAGCACCGAAGACAGCGGGCACAATCTTTACGTACACTGAACACGTCGAAAGGCCTCCACGTGCGATGCCCCGTCAAACGTGGTGCGGCTGGTGCCGGAAGTGCGTAACTTCGAGCTTTGACACGGTGTGGCGCCACCTTCGTGTAGGGCAGGGGTTCTCAAACTTTTTGGCCTCACAAAACCCCAGGAAGCCTCAAAAACTGCCGCAGAACCCCCTCCCCCCTCCATATTTTCCGACCGAGAAGCAACAGATGCACAATTGCAGGCAATTTTGCTTGTGTTGCTTCCCATATATCCCCATCATATCAATCACAATGTCAGTACAAAGTGAGATGAAGGTGCTTTGCATGGTCCTGCCGGGCAGTCTGCGGCATGGGGGGGGGATTGCAATTTGGGTGTTCGCGGAACCCATGAGACCACCTCGAGGAACCCCTGTATTCCCCGGAACCCAGTTTGGGAACCCCTGGTGTAGGGGTTGGTGCGCATTCATGTAAACATTACTGCGTCGGCTTCGTTCGAAGAATGAGTGGAGTTGATGCGCTGAAGTCGCTTTCATGTAAACGAGGCTATAGTCTCACGCGCTGACGCGACACTCACATCCAACCAGCGCCCGTGCCGACCTCTCGGACGTGACGTCTTGTCACGTGACGCGCACACTTGAAAGCTGTCTAGGTAATGTTGGCAGCTCCCAGCTGAGCAGGGAGGGCCGCCATTTTCATTCACTCGCCCGGTGGAATGCAATGCATGGGATCGGCAGTTATTTACTTTTATAACGCTGGCTCTGGCAAGAAAATGATATGCTGATAATCCTCGATGGGTTAAAAGGCTAAGAAATTAAGTTTTTTTACACAACTAGCTACAAACTTTTATTCAGGTGAAAAAGAAGTCGGCCTGTAGCAGACGGAGCACGGCCTCAACAGTGCTCTGCGCCGACAGCGTTGCATCAAAATGGCGGTCCGTCCCTGCTCCCTTCTTTCTCTCTTGCCTTTTTGGCGCTCTCCTCCCTTTCCTTCACTTTTCTTTTCTCCCGCACCTTCGTCGTTACATCCACTGGCCAGACTCTCCCAATATACGGTCCTGATCACTCAAGTACACTACAGCCACAAGAAATGTCTCGCTTGGTGAGCCTGATTGGACGTGCAACTGTTGCGGCGTGCTAAACGAGTTTTGACGGGAGCTTCTTGACACAGCCCCAGAGGAGTACCAGAACCTGCATCGCACCAGCCGGAAGTTTCTGAAGTTTCTTTCACGCGTGGAATCAAGAATCGTGCGACAAAACGAACCAGTGAACAGACAAAACAACGATGCGTCACTTTTGTTTGACCGTCCAAAACAAAAATACCTAGAAAACATTACACCGTTTCCAGAATAAACGCTTTTCAAGTCAATCTCCTGCCTAAAATCTGCGAGTGAAAAGGAGCTCAACTTTATCAGTCAGCACGTCCGCGGACGAGGCGCTGATCGTAGGAATCAATGGTGTGACGGTCACGTGGTACACGATCCGCGGACAAAAACAGCGATTTGGTTCGTCGTGCGACGCATGGTAACAGAGATCCCAGTGCAGAAATGGAAGGCGAAGATACTTTGAGCATTTTAACGTCAGTTCCACGTTCACTGCACCATTCATCAATGCAGTCATGAAAAGGCATCTCAAGCTATATTAAAAATTGGTAAAATGTCACTTTATTGCAAAACCTGCTGAGGAGAGGGGGTGTTTAAAGTGCTGTGATGCATACACGCTAAGCTAACTGCTAAATTGAGATAATAGCATGGTACAGGACGTCAAAATATAAACCTCTAAAAAGATGACTCTAAAGTCCACACACACTTCAGTAGCAAGACCTGCAACAGCTGATAGAAACAAGTCTGAAAGTTGAAACTGCCAGCCTTTTTCTTTCTATAGCAAAACAGTAAAACCAAGTTCTAGTCACATGTTTTTTTTGCAAGGTTACATCTACATAGATAGGAGTAAGTAATAAAACACTAAGGCATTTTTACAAACTCATTAAGCCACACTTCAAAGGAGCACATCTCGAGCAAGTGGAAAGGAACTTGAACCAAGAGCAAAAGTATTACCCAGCTTGCACTTTAGGTTTTTCACTTGTGTGCTCGATCACTGCCGGTCATCTGGTAATTCCACACAAAGGCTTGGGAACACAGCTTGTACTTCAGGTTTCTCACAATCATGTGTTCGTTTATGGCGTAGCAAATTGCTATTGTCAACAAAAGCTCGGAGGCACTCCTTGCACTTGTAAGGTTTTTCACCACTGTGTGTTCGACTATGGTATGTCAGATGGCAATTCTGAGAGAAGGCTTTGGGACACAGCTTGCACTTATAAGGTTTTTCACCAGTGTGTGTTCGATTATGGACCCTCAAAAAGGAATTCCGAGCGAAGGCTCGGGGGCACAGCTTGCACTTGAAAGGTTTCTCCCCAGTGTGTGTCCGATTATGGCTTACCAGATTACCATTCCGAGCAAAGGCTTGGGGGCACAGCTTGCACTTGTAAGGTTTTTCCCCCTTGTGTGTTTGATTATGGCTTACCAGATCACAATACAGAGTAAAGGCTTGCGGACACAGCTTGCACTTGTATGGCTTTTTAGCTGTGCCTATTGGAATGAGGTCAATCGGATTGTTTTTCTGAGCAAAGGCATGAGGATACAGGTTGCACTCTAACAACTTATCACCTGTGTGCTGAGTGTTACTATGCACTTTGGGCCTGGAGTCAGAGGACATGGGAGGATGCTGGCAGTTGAACTCTTCATCGTCGTGGGTAACCAGGTGGCTCACGATTGCATGCTGATCTTTGGTGATATAGGGGCAGAAACAGCATATAAACCAGATGTCCTCAGTGGCTTTCAGTGCGCAGCAGGACTCTCCCAATGGTGCTGCTCCATCACCTAAAGAAAAAAAGGAAGGCCTTGTCTCAAATTGGGCACACAAGGAAAGCCCTGCCAAGTTAGCAACTGGGATTCAAAATTGGTAGTCACGGTTGGAGTAAAGCTTCAGCTGAGCAGGTAATATCTCACTGCCCTTTTTATTTTGATTCACGAAAATGCTCCTAATAATTATTTTGCTGGTCGGTGATGCTGTGCCTCCTTTAGTGCATTGGGCTTTGTGGCCACGCAGAATTGAGGGAAAGCGTGCCACCAGCTAGCTGTAGTAATTACTCGTGGGTTTTGATTTCAGATTTCATCAATTTTGGCACAGGTTTGCTGACTCCTGTTTTCCTCTGACAATGCCTTTCAATATGCCATAATTTTCTCGTGGTCATCTGTGCTACACCTAAAGGTATGTTTGTTTTGTTAGTTTTTTTAGTTCTGACTAAGAAATAACACAAGGAAGATGAGAGGCTAGTGAGGAGCACACACTTGTGGGCTCAGAAGTTCGAGTATATAGATGCAGGGGGCACGGAGCAGTCCTAGCCTTTCTTGAAACGCTGCTTACAATCATTTTACACATGAAAAGTTTTCAGGTATCTTTGTAAACTCTACGGTTCCCATAACAGGGGCAAGGACTGTGCGTTGGAACATGTGTTCCCTTGCTTTCAGACAGACCACACCAATGCACAGCTTTAAAACGTGCACTCCAACGTCTTTGTCCAATTTTCCTCAAATTTGTGTAAACTCACCAACAGACAGCTGAACTCATAACCAAAATAGTAAGCCAAAATAATATATTTTTCCATGTTTGTTTCTTTTTAAAATTTAGGTTCTCAGCTTTTTCCCTTGAGACTGAACGTATTATCAAATTTTAATGCCAGTGGCACAAAAAGGTTTCACTCTTTGGCTAGTAGAATTGGTTCGCTGTGATTACAAGAAGTTTAAAGGTATCAAATGAATGCGTAGGAAGCTTGCTCCAGAGCTCGGGCAGCAGAACGAAACAAATGTGCAGCATAATCGGTTTTTTTAAGACTGCCTGCTTGACGTGCAAGCCCAGTGATGTCATGGCATTGGAAAGTGAATGTTTATTTGAATGTTGGTCTTGGCATGGCCTTCATTTGCCGATTTCACAGTAACTATTCTGCACTCTGAGATGAGAGAGTAGATGCTTTTCGCGGCATACACATATAAGCTTCACAATGTATAAGTGAGTGTGCATTTCCTTTATTCTTTTATCGATAACTCACCCTTCTGTGACCGGTCACTGATGCAGCGTCCCGCTTGGCCAATGTAGGCCAATGAGTTGACCGCCTGGCCAACGAGTAGCACTACTCATTTATTGCGACTGATGCGAGTGTTATTTGCATAAAAACCGATAACTCTTTGTTAGGTACGTGCAAATCGAAGCGAATTCAAAGTGAATAGTGGCTTTGGCCCAATATTTTTAATTGAATGTTGAACAGCTGCTGCGCCTTTCTCCATGCCTTTTACTACTGTTACACCATGCTTAAACAAATATTCAGCTGAACTTGCCAAGCTTGTTCACAAGCTTCTTATTGCCCCCTTATGAGCTCTGTTAAATTTTATCTAGCTATATTTATAGACTGTGGCTTCAGACAGTCCAATACCTACATTGGGATGGGAAGCAAATGACACATTTGACACACCTAAATGAGGGGGAATGATAAATCTTCTTGCTATATGAAAATATTTTTTTAATTCCTGAATTAAAACAAAACAAGCACAAATAATGAACACAGCTTGTTTAAACGTCGCTGCCTAACATATACCCTTGCATAATAGCTGCAGTTGAATTTTGAAGATTTTACTGCAATGTGAATATCAACAATCACGGTTTCTTTTTCATTACACCAGACGCGCGCATGCATTGTACCTCTTTGAAGGTATGTTCTTCGCCTAAATGCGCGGCTGCGCTGCGGCGAAGCGAGCCGCGAGGTTGCGGTGTCAGCCTTTGTGGGTATTGCTACTCCACAGAGCATCGGCGCTTGAGGAGAAGTGCACTCAAGGGGGCTAACCCGCCGTGATCAAAACTTTGAAAAGTATGAATATTGCAGTTAATTTTGAACAAATATCAAATAGAGTATTATTTAAAACTAGCTCTACTCTTTGCACATAGTACTTAGGCACCCGAAAATACAACAACAGCGCCTTCTTCATTTTCAGTGGCATCGCCAAGAATGCAGTGTGCCAGATTCTTTCAGTTACTTTTTCCAGAACAGCTCCCTTTTGGCGCAGACATGGCACTAATTGGGCACAAATATAGCCTTTGAAGCAGCATGTAGCAGGTAGCTCGTTCTGGCGCATTTCGGCGCAAATGGCACAGCAATTGCACCACTGCAGGAGGCGCCCGATTAAAAAATGAACACAGAGTTCACACTTTCTGGAACTAATCTGTCGTGAAGTTGGTAAAGCACTAAACACTAGGCATAGGTGAATAGAGGATTTCAGGTCCGAATAATTTTGAATCGAATAGTTTGAATGGTACAGGCAACAAATACCACAAGATATGTTTAAACTGTAGTTTTATATTTGCCCTTATTTGGTATTAGAAGTACCGTAATTGTTCATTTCAAGTGTATTGAGTTCAGGAGCACGGAATGGTCAAAACGGTCGGAAGCTTGCACCACCTGGTCGGAAATCCAAGCCAGAGTAAGTCAAACCCGTTTATATCGAACTCGCAAGAAAACATCTACCAGTTCGGTATAGCGGGTGATTAGATATAAAAGTTTTAATGAATTTGACTCTCAAAAATTCACTTTCTGCTGAAACATTACACAATGAAGTAGTCTTGCATCTTCTGCTGCCTTTTCTTCATTGCATCCCCGATAACAATATATTTCTACGCTATCAACGGACTCCAAAAATGCCGAGGCCGCAACCTTCTATATTCGCGCATTAGCGCCGAACTATGCCGAGAGCACGGAGCACCTTTTCCTGCAGAGCGCCGTTTTGCTCTGCAAGTTGGCTTTCGCCTACAACAGGGTGGTGGCGTTGGGGGAAGCCAGCTAACGGAATGAGCTGGCTTCTTTTGCTGTTTCTTTTTTAAGGCAGCCGCGTCAACCGCTTCGAAGAAAAAAAAAAAATATTCTCGTTTGCGAACGGTGCGGGGAGAGGGACCACGGAGAACTTTCTCTCCGCTATATTTTCTTTTCTTCCCTGTGGTCAACGCGGCCGCCCGAAAAAAAAAAGCCAGCCTGCTCTGCAAGCTGGCTTTCCCCCAATGCGGCCACTCGTTGGGGGAGGCCGTTTTCCCGTTGGGGGAAAGCCAGCTTGCAGAGCAAAACGGCACGTTGGCAGTTCGATATATCGGTAACGACTGCTTTTTTTGTTCGATGCAACCATTGTTTTTGCTGTATATTATCACTGTAACATTAATGTGCAAAAACATTTCTCGATATAAGAAATAATTCGATGTAAACGGGATCAATATAGTCGGGGTTGACTGTATTTAGAAAGGAAGAATATTCCTATATTGTCGAATAATTCGATATTGTCGAATAATTCGATATTGTCGAATACTTAAATTCGATTCGAAGCGAATGCCGAATAGAACAAAAGTCGATTGGCTATTCGTAATAACCGAATATTCGCCCATCCCTACTAAACACATTATCAAAGTTTTCATAATAGACCCCTTTCAAAAAATCTGGCAACAGCGAAAATCCGCTGAACGAGTCCAACAACATTGGGCGGCCGGCGCCATTGGGAAGGACCCTGTTGCGGCCGGCATGGTTGTTTTGACTGTAGCGTTCTTGTTTCGTTGATCCCTTCGCCTCTGTATGGCTGCAGGTAGCGTTTTCCCGATCACGGGTTGGGTAAACGACCTTTCCCAGCTCCCAGCCGTTAAAGATGATGAGGTATATCGCTTCTTCAAGAGCCGATCGGACTCGGAACGACAATTCGACAGAAGTTACAACTTTCTCGTTGAGGGGTCCGTCGTCGCCGCATCTATAAAGGCCAACTACGCAAGAAAACGGTAATTACTAAGATATTTGTAGTTACGACATCAAACATGTCATCAAAAAATGAGAGGAACCGGTTATAATTTACGGGCTGTAGTTAGAAGTCGCCAGTACTCTCCGGATGTGCGACAAAACAGGCGCAGGGGTCCCGCTTCGCTGTCGCTCGGACAGTCGCGCAATGAAGCACACCGCATAAAAGCGACGAGCGAGCGACCAAGGCGATGAGCGTCGTTTTCTAGAAATCCCAAACCAAGCGACGCAACAAGCGACAGTGAAACATTTTCGTTGCTCGTAGCCGACTTTCGTCGCTTGTGCCGTCGCTTGACTCGTCGCTCGTCAAATCGCGTTTTTTTACTTGGAATTAAGACCTAAAATTTCAATGCGCAAGTTAACCAGTAAAGGACGTATTCGACACAAGTTCCTACTTGATACGTCGAGTCCCTTTTTCTTGAGGGGGGATTTTAGAGTTGAGAAAAGTAGAGCAGCGAATTTTGCAGTGAAGCAGAAGTTGCAAGCGCGTGCATGCTGCTTTGCACAAAGCACACGATGCACAGATGTCTGCGCTACAGGCAGCTTAAAGCGTCAGGTCGTATGGCTTCATGCGTACCTAACATATAATTTACACGCGCAAGTTTGAAGCACCGCGAGCTCGTGCATACCTGAAGCTAGGCGCTCGCGAAGCTATCACGTCCACAAGCGATACCACGCGCAACATTATATTTGTATTTGACGCCTATTTCTTCAAGCTAGCTCAAACTTGAAAACTCTAACTCCAAAGATTAAAAACACCTGACTCAAACACCCAAGGAAGCGTAGCGTGAAAACGGTTCGTGTTCCGTTTTTGCAATTGAGCAGGGAAACGTTTGCGCGGCTACGCCGCCGTCAACCGATAACGAGTACATTTCCGAATACGTACCTTAATGCCAGACTTGTTCAGATACCCACTCTGCTTACAGAGGGGTACGCAGCAGTACGTTGGCATCGTGGGCAGGAATTGACTAGCGTATACGGCCAACGCAGCGTATGCAGCGGCGCGCACTATCCTGCAGCATGGCGGCTGCCACTAGTTGCTGTTGCGTACGACAGGTGGCCCTTTTTTCTCTGATGGGTCTATACTGGATGCATGTGAAAATTTTGAGAAGGCAATTTCCAAGGCAATGGCATTTGAAGCAGACAAATGTTTTTTATGCAGCGGAGATGGACTTTTTGGGTTGCCCGGAGCAGGTCACGTGAACGATGCGACGTTTTTCTCGCGCATTTTCCATACAGCGTGAGAGATCGTAGATGCACGTCGTTTGTATTTTTTTATAGTTGCTTCCGAGCAAATGTCCTCCACTGCGCAGCATCGTCTGCTGCATAATGCCACTCAGGAAATTTTCTTCTTTTTTTAAATCACATTCTTAAAGGAGCGATGCAACAATTTTGTACTTTGCGCAAATACCGCTTAAAACGGATCCCTAACGTTAATGACTTATGAAACACGCGTTCGTTTTTCACCCCACGCAATAGAAATCCCAGAAAAAAATTAAAGAAAAACGAGCAGCGTTCACCCCCTCAACTTGCAGCCAGAACAAGCGGCCACGTGATCTGGAGCCGATAATATGCCGCCAGTGTTGATCTGATCATAGCCACGCGCTGGGGCTGGCAAAGCGCAGGACACGCGCTGAGTTCCAGACATTGTTTTGGCTCGGCTGTTGTCGTCGTTGCAGCGATTGGACACGGGTCACTACCCGAATGCTTCTCGAGCTAGCAATTATCACGAGCCCAAGTCGAGTGCCCACGCAATGCTCGGGTCCAATCTACGAACCGCATTCAAATATCGTCACTTGGGTGTACTGCGATCCCCACGTTACGTCATCAAATTTTGCAAAGGAGAGATTAAATGAAAATGATCGCTTTTGTCCTTGAAATTACACCGCAACAAAGGAGTTTCTTGGCCAGTGGCGTTGCGTGTCAGTATCCTTGAGTCCCAGGTGTGCCAGTAAGCTCGTGTCAAGTGAAAAACATTCCAATTGAATATCGTTGCACCGCTCCTTTAAAGGTGCACTCAAGTGGTTTTTGGGGAAGCTACTTTTTGGTGCGATGGCGTTAAGGAAGTGTCAGTAAATGAGTATCTTCAGTTTTAGAAAGCAGAACCGCCTATTAATCACGCAGGAATAAAATACGTGCGGACTCTTTTTCGTTCCTGCGCCGACCAATGAAATGATAGTATGTTTGAAAATTTTGGCGGCCTTTGTAAAGTTTCGCTAAAGAAACAAATTTCAGTTCATTTAGATATGTTGTCCATGATAATTTCACAAGACATAAAATAGTTCTAGTTTAGAATACGCGATACTGCAATCATCGTTTCACAAACAAGGGACTACGTTTTCGCCTTGCCTTCCTCTGCGGGGGGTGAATTTCCCGTTCCCTCGGGATGAGCGGAAGTGCACGTATCATGAACTCCTTCCCTCCACCGACGCCATTCAAACATGGTGTCGCTGGTGATCGTCGACGTGGACAGCGTGGTGAAAGCTCATCGTTCCGTGTAAAAGCGCTATCCTTGACTGAATTTTCGTTGAGTGTCGCTATGATAACCCAGCACGTACTAGAAGGGAAGATCCACCTACTCGTGCGACGATGTCGTTGCGGCACTCTCAAGACAGCAGAAACGCCCGTGCCGTCGCGTTTGTTTACTTCAACTACAGAGGTGCTTTCTAAGCATTTGTGTCCTCGAACATCACCCGGATTTCTTATTTGGTGCATTTCATGCGTGTGCTCAAGTTCAAAGGTTTTACTGGTGCGTACCGTATAAAAGTAGCGAATTTTCACGCGTTTTCATCACCGGAGAAAAGTGATTAGTGATAGCAATCCTGAACGCTAGCAACGTCTATCTGATCACGAAATCATATTTCTATGTTGCTATATCGCTGCTAAGATTACATCGTCTTTTATAATCGTAGAAAAGGCGTGCGGCGATATTTGTACTATTGGCAAAGTCGTGTATTAGAGTCGTGATCGTCCAAGATGGCGTTCTGCAGCGTTTTCTTTTCTTTTTTTCATCCACTGTACCCTACAAGCCTATCATGAAAAAAAAAGATAATAAAGCTTTAGTCTAGAAAACTGTCTGTCTATATTCTGTTACGGCATTGAGTGTAAGTGCGTCCCCTTTTTAAAGGCGCCGGTGAAACAGCTGACGACGGTGTAGTGACGACGGTGTAGCGGCGCAGAGCGGTCCTTCTGGTCGCTCCGGTTGCAACGAACACAGTCGTAGGTAACGCGCTCGTTGCAAATGTCTGAACCAGCCTTCCCCGTCCTCCCGAGGCGAAAGTCAACGTGGTGACATCGTTTGACATCACGTACTAGAGGTTACGCTGCGATGCCAAACGTCTGTTTGGTTACGGCTTGCCCCAACCGCAAATCGAAGAACGCCAGAAAAGGTCTGCGTTTCGTTGTCCTCGGAACCCGAACACGACACCGAAACGCTGCTATCGTGCACATCGTACGTCGGAGTGGGGTCATAGGAAATCATCCCCAGGTCGGCTGTCCGCCGAAGAATGTCAAACTCTAACGGCATTAGGTCCTCGAGCGTAGAGAACTCCGCCATGATCGAACCTCGAATGACAAAGAGTTTGACCCACGTTCGGCCGGTGCGGCTACCTCGAAATCACTGCGCGACAGAACGTCGCCCAACGCCATTGGCCCGAGATAGTTTTGATATGCGAGCGATGACCAATGAGAGTGGTTGCATTTTCGGATGGATCCGAGGTTTGGCGGCCTTCAATTACATTTTTATTAAAGAAATAATCATTGTATGACTATATTTTTTGGTTTTTAGGGGTACCTAGGGCGTCTAGATTCAGTTGTCATCATCAAAACACAAACTCAAAAACCACTTGAGTGCCCCTTTAAGTAGTACACCACTTAGCACAAATTATTGTGAAATGTTCTTTTATCATGTCAAAAATTATTGCAATTTTGTACATCCCCAAAATATTGAAGAAAAAATTATTTTCTTGAGTTCCCCATGCATTTGTAACTGGGATTGGAACCTCTGGGTGTTCGCCGCTAGTCGCCGAGAGATGGCATTCTAGATTGCGCTACTCTGCTCCAAACGAGCTATATAATGCTCTAGGTGCACAGAGTTTAAGAGCCACCTGGCGAGAGGCACACAGACTAAACTTGGAGCAGGCACCCCGTACGGAGAGCTCATTGACGTGGTCCCAGGTATAGAGAGGGTCGTGGCCTAGATATCGACACCATTTTTTGTTTATAAAACAAGTTGAAAGGAACGACTTACTATGACACGAGGACGGCATCAGCTCCATATGAATTGCTGCCAGCAGTCAGGTTCGTAAAGAGTGTCGTAAGATCATGAAGGACTCAGGGGATCACTTGAGGTGCCTGCAATAAACAAAAAGAGGAAAGAGAGTAATTAAGAAGAAAGCCAGCACAGCCTCCAAAGTGATAAAGCTAACCAAAGAGCTATGAGGACCACACACATGAAACACACCCAAAATTTTGCCATTCCAAGATTAGAGTGACGGATGTTAGAGGAAACAGAATGCCTGTGTTTAGTAATGGGCGATAGCTTGTGCCGCCCTGCTTAAAGGGGCATCAACACCCCCAAATGCATTTCTTTTAATTTACCAAACAATTGGACATGATACTTAGACATCACCCTGAAAATTTTAAGCCTGGAATTAGGTTATTTGCAGAGAAAAAAATATTTTCAGAAAGGCGAGCGCGAAGTTTCCGCGCCCTCAGTGACATCAAGGCTGGTTTGGAGCATTTTCTTCTCCGTTGCCCTTTAATTGGACATATCGTTCGTCTTTCCCTCTTTTCTCCTCATCGATCAGGTACTCGCTCTTGAATTTCGCTGTGCACCGGCAACACGTGCATAAGCAGACGGTGTGTCAGTCACGAGCTTTGATATATTCTTGGTCTACCGACTCTGCCTAGGCTTTCCATAACACTTTCAAAAGCGGTGCAGTTGAAGACAAGGTGCAGCAGAGTTTGAGGAACGACGTGAGGGGCAATTTCGTGTTGGTGCTGCATCAAGCACTGTCCCAGCACTGGCACATTAGAAAGTGCACCTCTACACACGGTCCTTATCATTTCGTCGAGACTCGTTTCGTGGAATTACGTTCCGTGGACAACTCTTCATGGACACATGTTTCTTTGACCCGATGGTTTCATTGACACTCTGATCTGAATTGCACGCTGTAAGGACATTTCGTCCCGTCTGTGTCACTGGGGTGCGCACCAACCGACCCCTCTGCCTGCGTTCACGCCGCTGCACGGCGACAGTCTCACTGGGGTGTGCACCAACCAACCCCTCTGCCTGCATTCACGCTGCTGCACAGCGACAGTCTGCGACGGCTCATTACAAAAATGTTAATCCACCCGACCGGCCCATATAGGCCGCTCTTCGCGGCGACAGCCTCATGCAGCTTATCAGAGAACAAGGCTAATCTGAGCTGTCGATGAAACGATTTGTCGATGAAACGATCTGTCGATGAAACGATCTGTCGATGAAACGATCTGTCGATGAAACGATCTGTCGATGAAACGTTATTTGATGAACTGATTGCCACCGCTTTACACAGGCTTCCAAAGAATGAAGCAGAGAAGAAGGAATGGTCGGGGGAGATACCAGCAGGACAACTGCTTGGTGCATGGAACGCCACCTTACCAGTTCGTGTTGTCGAAGGGCTACAAGTCTAAAGGAGAAAGTACCTACGACTCGGCGACATCCTCCTTGGGATCTTCCTCTGCGAATGTTCCAACTAAAACCTTCTTAAAGGGGCCCTGCAAGGACTTTTTACTGTTTTCTAATTTGCACCAAACCTGAGCGCACTGAACGTAGTAACTTAGTGAAACTTTTCTTTTCTCGAAATTCCCTTTATCTTAAAAGTTATAGGCAAATTAGAATTGCAAAAACAACCAAAAAATAACCTTCCTCATGACGTCCTTGGTTGCTTCAGAGTGGCCGTGAACTAAAGGAGGGGTAGTGAGCTCATCAAGCGCTCACGGCTGCCGCACTCCGTGTCGACGGCGCGAGAGGGCGCCACTAAAGCATGCTCTGGATAGGCTGTATGCAGCGGGCAGCCAGAGCGGCTCTCATTGCATTTGCTGTGCGATTAGATACTAATTCGGCATGACACTTCATTGGCCACAAACGACAGCAAACATGGGGTACCGATCAGCTCAGAATGGGAGCCACTTTGCGCTGCCATACCGCGAAACGGCCAAGCCGCAAGACAGAGCTTCTCGCCGAAGGCCTTCGGAACGCTTGGAGCCGGTCGGATCCTCCAGTCCGTAAACGACCGCAACAGCGAAAGCGTGGAGCGAAAGCTCGCGCTGCAGAACCCAGGGATCCTGGGTTCAATCCCCACCCCTGCCCGTTTCGATCTGGATGAGCATCGTACCGGCATGCGGTCATGTATCACTACTGCGTGGTGTACGTTAAAGACCCCAGGCTAGCGGTTGTACTGCACTGGCTAAATTGCTCATCTACAGCTGGGAGACTCGTCGCCCCTGTGAGGCAGACCAAGTTCTAGGCTGTATAAACATACACACAACCCAATTATTATTATTATTATTCAGTTATAGTTAGGCTGTGCACTTTCCGGTTTCAACCGAAAAAACTCGCACCGAAAAACACCGGCGGTTGAATAGTTTCGCCCTGATTAGAAAGCGAAAAACATTGATCGTTGAATGTTTCTGCCAAGCAAGGACAAGCAACCAAGCAAGGACAAAATCACAGAGAGGGAGCTGAAGGAGGCAATTAAGAGAATGGGAGGGACCACAGCCACAGGTATGAACAGAGTCCCATTCAGGTTAGTGAAGGAGCTGGGGCAGGAAACAAAAAGGATCTTACAGAGGGGCTATGCGAGACGGCGGGACATCGCCACCAGTGCTGAACTGAGTGTAGATGCAAGTGATCCACATAGACTTCAAGGCCCGTTCCCACTCTTGCGACCGAGTACGACTGAGAGAGACGAGATCGTCTCTCTCAGTCGAGTTTAAGAAGTCTTACAACTTCTTAAATGTTTTTAGAATGAGGGAACACACTGGCATTGTGGCGCCATCTATGCCGTGACCCTGGAACTGCATTTCACAAGAGCGAAGGTTTTGCGGGATTTCTGAGGTAAAATGTGCGTAATACCCATAGAAAGGCTCGTTTATACCATTGACAAAAGTTTTTCGAGCCAAGAAAGAAAGGATAATGCGCGAGAAATAAAAAAAAAATATGCCGGACCGAAGAGTTTACACTGCTTCCGAACAGATGGCGCCAGTGTGTTCTCTGGTTTAAGAAGTTGTAAGGAACCCAGGTTTAAGAGGTCGCAAGAGTGTGAACGGGCCTTCAGGCACAAGCAAAGACACAGGGGCTCCTGGGGGAGCTGCAAAATGGGTTCCAGTGGGACAAAAGCCTGAAGGAGAATATCTTCGTCCTGACACAAGCAATTGAGAGGGAGGAGCGGCCAGTATATCTTTGCTTCCTAGATATCAGCAAAGCATGCGACACAGTGGATCAAGAGAAATTGTGGAGGCAACTGGCAGAGCAAGGACTCGGCAAGGAGTGGATCGACCTGCTGAGGAGGGTGTATAGACCTTTTCACCCTCCGCCACAGGGGCACTGCCATCTTGGAATCACATGATGCGGCTGCCATTAGGTTGCTTCAACTTGTTGCTCCGCTCTCCCCTCCGCGCCCTGGCGGATGCGTTAAATTTGTGTTTTTCGTTGTGTTTCACCGCCTTTCTTACCTTACTCCGGAAAGTGTTGTCCGACACTTACACTTACCACGTAATGGCATTACATCATTATGTGCGCAACTTTTGCAGTTAGTTTTGTAACATGTTTTGACTATTTTTACTATTGGCATGCCGGATACGTGTTAAGCGGCTATATGGGCACATGAATCAGCATTAGCGCTCACGCAGATTGAGTACATGTATTACTCTAAAACAGCACAAGGGTTCAAAAGTCAGTAACCTATGAGGACTCAGGTTTGCTTACTAACAATGGCGGAACATTCACAATAGGAGGAGCACGGTAGGTATATATATAATCGCGCATTTAGGATCTTAAGGAAGGTGACAAAATTACAAAGCAAAAATAACCATGTGTGTTTTTTTCAAAGCATTGTGTATTGTATTTATACCATATCGAGAACAGCTGCTTTTGATTATGGTATATGGGAGAACTCGTGGGCAAGATAAAGCACAAACGTTTAATTTCATTTTTTTTTTATGCTAGAAATACTGGTATGCCAACGTCAGACAATTTGCTTACAATATCACTTACATCTGTTTGACGTTCATAATTGTCTTTGCAATATAAACATTTGATCGGTTTATATATTAAAATTCTAAGAAGCTGTATACCATGCTTGGTCCCATGCCTTTTAAACAGGAAAAAGTCGGAAAATCGTTTTATGAGTTTACTACGTTTAGTGCGCTCACGTTCGGTGCAAATTAAAAGCCAGTCAAAAAGTCATTGCAGGGCCCCTTTAACCGTAAATATTGCCAAATGCTGAACAAAAAAAAATGTTATAGAAAAAAAAGTTAGATGTTTACAATCCCCTGTAACCCCGAATTAGAGCACAGCTCTTGATGAGGAGGAGGGAAGGGTAATGAGGGGAGAAGGTGGAAATTCTCCACTACTAACAAGGGTGTGGATCGACATGTGCTCAACGCAAATCACAGAAAATGCCCATCTTTGGTGAGAGCATTGTGTGTAAGTTTGGCGTGGATCTAGCGGAGCAATTTTTTCCCCTAAATTTGGCGGGGATTTAGCGGAGCAATTTTTTTCCCCAACTTTAACGGGGAATTTTTTTCGCTAGATTTAGCGGGGAAATTTCTTTTGTTAAATTAAGCGGGGAAATTTTTTCCGTTGAATTAGCTAGCACATTTGTTCCGCTAAATTTGGTGAATTTTTTACGCTAGATTAGCGGGGAAATTTTTTCGCGAGTGACGTCATCAGTGACGATGCCGATGACGTAATTACAATAACGTCAGTGACGATGACATCATCGTCACTGATGACGTCATCAGTGACGTCACGCGTCTCATAATGCATCGCGCGGTTACGCCGAAGGCGACGCCGCTCAAGCCGGAAACGGCCGCCTCGCTCTAAACAAACAAAAAAAAAAAAAAAATCAAGCCTACACTAAGCCCACACATTAAACTTACAACCCACTTGGCCCAACCGTAAACGCAGCTTCGCGGCGGCCGACTATTCACTAAAGTCTTTCGATGAAAAGTCAGCGTTCGCTAAAACGTCATTCGACCAACCGAGTATATTCTGGCAGACTACTACTCATTTGTTTGTTTTTGGCTATAACGGCTTCAAATGATGCAGCGCACACGCATATCATCCTAGTAATCCTTTGATAGTGTTAACAACCTTTGAAACAAGAGCGAGAAGAAAACAAAAATACAGGTTAAAAATAGAGGACGGAGCAATCGGTCACCTAAAGAAACGGCCCCGATAGAGCGAGAAGTACCTCCTGAAATTTGATTCGAACTTATGACCCTATTATTACCGAATGATTCAATTTTTAGTGTGCAAGGTGTGCTGAAAACAGTACTTACCTCTTCGTTGATGTTGAAGTCGAGAAGCTTCACGGACAGAAAGTCTCCAAGGGCCTCGTGGCTTGCGTCACCTGTTAGAAACGTTACAAGCAGTCAACGAGGTAGAGGGGCTTAGAACGGTAAACCAGGGTTCCAGCGTTCCGGTCTGCACTCCGAAGCGATCCCCAAGCAAGCGTCCTTCTCCCCAACAGGCCGCTGCCATTTGTACGCAAATATATGACTACTCGTCGTCACGTGACCAAACCAAATACGTGACGTCACAGGAAAGATGGCAGCGCCCAGGCGCCCAGGCCCCCCAGGCCCAGGCTGGTATTAGCCGATTCACACGACGGACTGATCCGCGGACGGATTGATCACGTGATGACATATCCGCGGTTCATCCGTCTCCCAAGCGCATCCACACGAGGGAGACGACGAGCAGACGCCAGCGAGGACGGACCGATCCAGCTCGCCACCCCACAGTGCCGCGAAACTCCAACATCGCGCCGTGGCACCGTTGTCCAAGAGAGAAATCGACGTTTGCTAACGCGATTGAGAATCGTACGCTGCTGTTACGCACAGATCGAGACAAAACACCGGGGCAGGCTTCGCACCAAGCACCACTAACTTTACTAACCCAAAGCATGACAGTGACACAGGCATGGTCCTGCTCGAGAAAGCCTCGGCGTAGACGCGACGAAGTTCTGGGCTCGCGGAGGGGCGTTTGGAGATGTCTTCACGCACTCCGCGCTCGTGCACAACACTCAAGCACACCACATTCACAACTTACAAGAGAGGTCTTGCTCGGTGAAATCCTGATCGGACGTGCAAGAATTACCGCGGCGTGCTAGACAAATTTTGACGGGAGCTTCTTGACACGGACCCGGAGGAGTACCGAAACCTGCGTCGCGTCAGCCAGACAAGTTTCTGGGGTTTCTTTCACTCGTGGAACCAAGAATCGCGCGTCAAAATGAACCAACAACGCACAAAACACAATGATGCGCCATTTTGTTTTGAACGCCCAGAAGCAAAAAAAAAACCAAGAAAACAATGTACCGTTGCCAGACTAAACGCTTTCCAAGTCAATCTGCCGCCAAACGTCCGCGAGTGAAAAAGGCGCTCGACTTTATCAGTCCGCGCCTCCGCGGACGAGGCGCGGATCGCAGGAATCGGTGACGTGCCGGTCACCTGGTACACGGTCCGCGGACGAAAATCGCGATTCGGTCCGTCGTGTGAATCGGCTATATCTGGGTGATCTGGGTCGGAGCATTGGCCGGAGCTTGTCGGATGCGTTGTTCGTTGTCGTTGGTCTCAGCGAGCGGGAGCCGTCATGTGAAGCCGGTCGAAAGCGACTTCAGAGTTCAGCGTGGTCTCTCTTGTAGGTATAAGGTATAAGGTGGAAATGCGGAGGAACGGTGTGCATTTCGCTGGTGATCGACGGGGATATTGCCACGAAAGAAACAATCAGCCCTGCGTTGCTCTGACCTCGGATGGCTTCGGATATCGCTAGAATAAATTTCAGCGCGATGTTTCTGTGCTCTCGTTGACTATCAAAATATTTGAGGTCTGCAGTCAAGCGTGTGCACTGTATTAGCAACGGAAATTGCGAAAGTCGTGTTTGACTATGTGCAATCGTGTTGACGCTTCGTTCAAATGACCGAAGGCTGACTTTAGTCATTTGGAAGAACTGACTTGAAGCTGGTAGTTCCCGTGCCGTGCTAGATGATGCCGTGCTCCTTCCTAAATTGTTCTGACGTAGACGTGCACTTCCACGGGGCACAGGTGTTGCAGTTGGTATTGAATCCGCTGGTCTGCCGCACGTTTCGTCGACACAGGTTTTATCAACACTCGTGACACGAATTGCAAGCTGTATAGACATTTCATCGCGTGTGTATCACTGGGGTGCGTGTTACCTACCCATCCCACACGTTCACGCTGCTTTGCGGCGACAGTCTGCAGCGGCTCATTACCAGAAAAGTGGTCCCATATCCACTTAATTTCGGTTCGACCACGGCGGTCGTCAAAACACCGAAGGAGAGAACTTATTCGTACATTACGCCGCTAAAGAAATGCAGCTTCTTTACTGGTGAGGGTAAACTCTCTTTTGTCAGTTTTGTGACAATGGCAGCCATGCTCGGCTGTCATTGTATGTTCTGTTGGAGGTGCTTATACTTTACCCATAGCCCTTCACTCTGTGGGCACCCTGGCAGCTCCTCAGCCGAGTTGCTTGATAACGGGACACTGGTTGCGGTCTTTCCCCCATCTTGCACCCCAGGGGAGCCGTGAACCAATCCTGAGCCCGGCAGAAAAACTGCAAGATGAGCAAACCCCGCAAATATACCAAAAAAAAACATAATTTTCAAGTCAATCCTTGCTACCAGAAAGAGCTACCAGAATTTGGCCTTGCGCCAGAAAAACCGAAGCAGACTAAGCCATCAATGACAAAGCCGTAGGAGAAGACTGCGTCTGCTCCCACCTTTGTTTGCAAGCCCGTTGCACTTTGCACTTCGACGCCCTTTCACGGCAAGGTGTGTGAAGACTTTGAGGACTGAATTGACCAATATGACCATGTCGCCCGCTACAACAGGTGGACAGACGACCAGCACCTGCAGGACCTATACTTGTCGTGCAAGAAACTGCCAAATACTGGTTTGAGGACCATGAATCCTCTTTAAAGGGGCGGTGCAATGGTTTTCAGACTTTGACCAATTAACTGCGGAAATTAATCTGTGTCCCCCTTTGGACAAAGAACAGAAAACCATATTTTCTTGCAACCGCTAGTTTTTATATAAAACAATAAAACAAATCAAAGGTCAAAGTGCCTCTCAACTCTCCACGTCACCTTCAGAGGGACGTGCTCTGGAGGATTACGTGGCTTCCCCTTGGGTTCTCTTTTCAGAGACCTCAGCCGCTTCCTTCGTGATTATCGACTTTTAAAGGATTAGCATTGTCGAAGGTCGCGGCGAGCGATTGACACAAAAGACTGTTCGCCACGAGGGTGACGGCGAAAGTAGCAGCGGAGGGGGACAGGTTTTGTCCACTTCCGCATATTCCCCAGAGTATGTCACACATCAGTTGTGTGACATACTCTGGGGAATATGCGGAAGTGGACCACCAAAAGCGGCTGCAGATCGGCAAATATTTCATTTTCTTCTTTACGATTACGCAGCGGAATAGCAGTTTTCTGGGGCAAGATGACGTGTTTTTGGTCACTTGTGCTTGAATAAACAATGTCAAAAATACAAATTGCCAATTCTTTTAACTCTAAAATCGTTGCACTACCCCTTTAACGTCGTGGGAAGTTTGCAAGGTCGAGCTGAAGCGCTCGTTTGTCAGCCAACATCGACGAGAGAGAGCTAAATGCCTGATTCTGTCCAGGACATGGCTCCAACAAGAGTGTCACCGCCTTCGTAGAGGATGTTTTGTGCCTGATTAAGCGCCCACGTCTACCCTGATGCTACAGAAGACCAAGCTAAGAACCCCACGTTTCTCATGTGAGGGTTGCCTTGTCTGCAACTCTCCGAGAAAAGTCGAAGGGTTCATCATTGAGGCTTCCGACATTGAACATGCACTGCACACCTGTGCCCGTCGCTATCAACAACTCCCCGGCGTCTCGACACTCAAGTCGTCCAGCTGCAACTTCGACGCCACCCTCCCAGGCATCCGTGACATGATCCCCGGCATTTTTCAACAAGAGATCGGGAAGCTACTTCTGCCATCAGTTGCCCAGCTTTTATTTTGACTGCCGAGATTGTTCGGTCAGAAGTTCAACAGGCATTTCAACCAGAGACTTCTGGAAGCGAAGCAGCATCTGACGAGCCGAGAGCGACCTATGCCACAATGGTACGATGACCGCCACCAGCTGCCCGTTAGTATTCAATGCAAATTCAGCGGGACACCTTGACGCTGCAGCGTTCCCAACGTTGGTAAGAACCAGTGTAGCTCCGCGCTGAACAAAGTATGTCGAGGAAGATGGAGGTGTTGCAAATGGCCGATCGAAAACCACACTGCTACCACTGCATGAGGCTGACCATGCCTACCGGAGGTGCCCATACCAATGAATGGGCCGGCGAGGGCTCATGCCGGACAACCCTCGACCACGTCTCGAGCTGCAACCGCGAGATATCGAGGAGCGTCTCTGGCGGCCTCTGTCCCTGGTGCCGACATTAACGCAAAGCTCCTGATCCCCGTCACCTTGACGGGAGGTAAGCACGACAATGCAGGCGAGCGGCAACGCAATGACAGTTGATTTAATGTCGGTTGTCGTCCAAGGGCAATACCTAATAATTTGCCGACACCAATTATCTGTATCCACTCCCAGCACACAATTTCCAACTTTGAGGGAGCATGCCACTGAGTGGCTTGAAGAAATAGCATGGTTGGTTTTCAAAAGTGGACACCAAGCATCACCCGACTTCACTTTGCCACACGAGACTTACACAAGTTGCAATGGTTGTGGCATGCAGAAAAAATCGCTATTGTGAAATGTAAGTGAAGTGGCTTGGATGGCAAACAAACATTGTTGCCGGCCATCAAGCCAATGGTACAGCAAAAGGCACAGCCACATAAGCAATACATGCCCGAACTTGCTATATTGACGCAAAAATCTACCAGGAAATTTGCAGATTAGAAGCTAGCCCTTCAGCTTCAGTGCATCAGATGTCAGTGGCGGCACATAACGTGTGATTACAAGACGGCATCGGTCAAAGTCGCCACGCGACCAAACTGATAATCGACGAGCCAGGAGCGTCATTTGACAGGTACTACGACTGAACGCTGTTGGGACCGAGCAGTTGTCCGGGAACTTTGGGTACGGCAGGGAGCCGAACCAGGGAAGGAACTCGTGAGGTAGCCGGAATCGGAAAGGACCAGGGAGCAAAAGGGGTGTCTCGTATATAACTCTTTATATATACGTATGGACAGGTTACAGCATCTCAAGAACACTGTCGAGAACACACACTAGCAGCCGCCTGCTGCTGCATTTATAGCCTCACTTTTCCCCACATCCCTAGTAGGAGATCCCCAGGGTTCAGGCCTTCACCAAGACTGTGGGGCCAGTGTCCTTAACATTCAGGTATGCCCTTCCCCTCTCTCTCTCACACTGCTACACGCGGCACACACACGGAAGGGCCAGACATCCTTGGCCGCTGTGTCGCCGGTCAATGTCGGCGGACAATGGTGCCATCAAAGTCGAGGAAGGCGGAAGACATCCATAATTGCAGGCGCCCTGGCTTTCGTG